ATTATTGTGGTGACCTTTTGACTAAGAAGGCTGTAGGTTAGCAATGATCTTTGTGACCTTTTGACCCAGAAGAAGGTAAGTCAACAATTATTGTGGTGACCTTTTGACTAAGAAGGCTGTAGGTTAGCAATGATCTTTGTGACCTTTTGACCCAGAAGAAGGTAAGTCAACAATTATTGTGGTGACCTTTTGACTAAGAAGGTAGTAAGTTAACAATGATCTTTGTGACCTTTTGACCCAGAAGAAGGTAAGTCAACAATGATTGTGATGACCTTTGAATCCAAAAGACACTAAGTCAACAATTATTGTGGTGATCTTTTGACCCAGAGGACATTAACCCAAACTTATTGTGGTAACATAGAATCATATGTTACGCACGACTGTGTTAGCTAGAAGTTAGTCAAGAACTATGTGAAATTTCAATAAGAACACTTTAAATTTACAAATTGCACACTTTAAAAGTTCTTTTGCTATTAGCTTGTTTGGAGAGTTCTAATTTCTACATATGTATGTCTTATGGAAACAAAGCTCTTTGAAATTCTAACCTCGTTATCCATTTGTAATTTCTTGATCAGATTAAACTTAAACTAGGTCATTATTGTAAGAATATCAATATTTTAGCGTTGTGAAAGTTTGACTCCCATAAGTCATTCTTTGATGAAGTTTGCATGTTTTAAATTATCTGCATTTTTTCTTTACGCTTGCAGCTCCCTCTCCTGATTTATTATATCGCTAATAATAGTTGAGTTTAATTTCAGGGTTCAGAATATTTAAACCCCCACAACTGGAAGAGAATGTAGTATTTGGTAAATCAGCCTCATTGTATAATTAGAGAAGAAGTACCCTCTCTCTGTCATTAGAAAAATGTCCCCCCTCCTAGGCTTATAAAAAACACGTTTCCAATCTCATTGGACTTTTCATCCTGTTCCGTAAATTATTCAAGATTTGATAATATTTTTAAGACTGTTCCCAGTCTCATTTTTATAATTATTGTGTATGATAAATGGCTGTTTTTTTTAAAGAATGTTCTCGTTCAGCACTTACACAAGTGTCGTTTGAATATCAAGTTACTACACATTGAAAAAACTGCTGCGAAGTAAAAGAAAAATATGGTTAGAGTCTCGACAAAACAACTTTCATTGGAAAGACAGCTTGACAAAAATAACACTTATTTCTCTTTCCTGTAGAAGTATTTTTTTCTGTTTCTCTTTTTATTCGTGCTATCGTGTAATCAAGCTTAACTATTTCTTTCTTTAGAGATAAACTAAAGCACTGACTAGTAAGGCGGCTGGAGTTTTAAATTTTATTTTATTAAATATAAATGATACCAGATGGCACCGTTGCAGTTTTTAAGTGTATTCTAGAGTGACGAAAGAAAATGTCATTAGTACTTTGTGACGAAGATTTAGATAAGTTGTTATGCAGTTATAACAACTGGACGGTTTAGAAGTTGTGAGTTGAAATAAAATTTGTTAAAAGCACGACAAGTACTGCTCCAAGTTATAAACTACTCTACTCAAGTCTGCGTTTTTATTTGTTTGAAGTATTTGCTCAAAGACCACTGTTTGGTTGTACTCCAAGTTGAAATGCAAGCTTTTGACATTTATTTAACACGTTGTAATATACTTAAGCAAATTTATTCTCTGATGTAAATATAAAAACTTTTAACATGTAGCATGAAGATCATTATCAGGGTATATTAAGCCCAAAACTATGTGCCACAATTGTTATATCTGTATATTTAACAATAAATTGTCAATTTAATTATTTGTGGATTTGGAACACTGTGTTTTTTATGTCCTCTGACATCGTATGACTAAGCCTTGAGTTGATGTATTATGTATTTACTTACCAATGGTTCAATGAGTGTGACACATCAGACTACTTGTATGTGTCGTGATGTGAATATACTTGAAACATGGACAGCGAAAGTCTGTCCCTTCCATTACTTGTCTGTCCAGATGTACTTGTGACAGATTTTAATTAAACAGAGTTCAGACTTATCAATATCTAGTGTGTCCCTTCCATTACTTGTCTGTCCAGATGTACTTGTGACAGATTTTAAGACAAGTAATGGAAGGGACACACTAGAATATTGATAAGTCTGAACTCTGTTTAAAGTTCAGATGTACTTGTGACAGATGTTAATTAAACAGAGTTCAGATTTATCAATATTAAAGTGTGTCCCTTCCATTACTTCTCTGTCCAGATGTACTTGTGACAGATTTTAACTAAACAAAATTCATTAATAAAAACTCATTTTTTAATAAACAACAAAATATTTTGTACACAATTCTAAAAAAAGAGACTGTTCCCACTTCCCAAAATACAATAAAATGCTTCGACGTATTTACTACGTCATCTTCAGGAGTGCGATGTATTGCAATAATACACTTATTTACACCCTTATAAAAAATCACCACAATACAATTTACATATTGAAGAATTTCGCGCCATCTGCAGGCATTTCCATTAAGTCCATCATCTTTATTGAATAATTTAAATTTAATAATTTTACATTTAATTATCTCAATAGATTCATGTATATTCTTGCTAATAATAAAAATAACAGTTTTTTTCCCCATCGAATATTGTGTGTTTAGTTTCATTAATATGTTCTGATAAAGGTGAAATAGTAATATTATTGTTTTAACATTTCTTTAATGTTCATTCATTCTGTATCTTAAATTTCTTTTAGTTTGTCCTATCTAAACTTTTCTACATTCACATAATATGTCATATATACCACATTTTTCCATTAAATCAATTTTATCTTTAGTTATATTAAGAAATGGCTAACTTTATTTATCGGATTTTTATATATTTATTTGATAAGATAAGCCAGGTATAAATGAAAGTACCAAAGATTCTTTTGTTCACCAAGTGGTTTTAACTTAATGTTTTCATCTTTGTTTTCAGTTTTTGACAGATCTGTCAATAACGTCAAGATTAAAACCTCTTTCTACTGCTATGTATTTAATTAATAATAACTAATTATTAATATCATCCTGTTTACAACACAATTTTAGTATCCTGTCCACATAAGAGTACAAAACAATAGTTTTCTGAGAGTTAGTGTGACAAGATTTTTGATGTGGCGGAATGTTGACAGAGAAAGGTTTCCAATTTATCCAAATCTTTACTAAAACATTCAAACAAAGTTAACAGCTGTTTGTGTCAACTTAATAATTGAATCTGATAAAACTGTCAACATTATTAAAGTAATTAGAAAAAAGACCCAACATCATACCTTGGCTAATCTTCAGGTTTCTTATCAAAAATGTGTCATCAACATCATACCTTGGCTAATCTTCAGGTTTCTTATCAAAAATATGTCATCAACAACATACCTTGGCTAATATATGACGTTGATAACACATTTTTGATAAGAAACCTGAACCACATTTTTGATAAGAAACCTGAAGATTAGCCAAGATATGACGTTGATGACACATTTTTGATAAGAAACCTGAAGATTAGCCAAGACATCAACGTCATATCTTGGCTAAACTTCAGGTTTCTTATTAAAAATATGTCATCAACATCATATCTTGGCTAAACTTCAGGTTTCTTATAAAAAATGTGTCATCAACATCATACCTTGGCTAATCTTCAGGTTTCTTATCAAAAATGTGTCATCAACATCATACCTTGGCTAATCTTCAGGTTTCTTATCAAAAATATGTCATCAACAACATACCTTGGCTAATATTCAGGTTTCTTATCAAAAATGTGTCATCAACATCATACCTTGGCTAATCTTCAGGTTTCTTATCAAAAATATGTCACCAACATCATACCTTGGCTAATCTTCAGGTTTCTTATCAAAAATGTGTCATCAACATCATACCTTGGCTAATCTTGTGTTTTTTTATCGAAAATGTGTCATCAACAACATACCTTAGCTAAACTTCAGGTTTCTTATTAAAAATGTGTCATCAACAACATACCTTAGCTAATCTTCAGTTGTTTTTTTATCAAAAATGTGTCATCAACAACATATCTTGGCTAATCTTCAGGTTTCTTATCAAAAATGTGTCATCAACAACATACCTTAGCTAAACTTCAGGTTTTTTTTTATCCGCTCTTTCTAACGCTTCAGTTTCAAAGCTGTCCATAATACCGGAGGTAAGGGAAAACCCATAGCTAAACCGTCATTCTTTTTACTCTTAATTTGGACCTGATGGAAATGTTGTCGTTAGAGGGCGTAAAATTATTTAATATGTAAATTGTATTGTGATGATTTTTTGTAAGGGTATAAATATGTGTGATTCTTGCAAAGCATTGCACTTCTGAAGATGACGTAGGAAACACGTTGTGTGTATGAGGTTGTTTTCAGTCTCATCGGGTTTTCTTTTTCATGTGCAGTAAGTTCTTTGGTATTTTATTGTATATTTAAGATTGGGAACAGTTTCGTTTTTTAGAGTTGTGTACAATATATCGTTGTTTATTTAAAAAGTGAGATTTTAACATTGAGCATTTACAACAGCGCCGATGAATTTTAAATGAACAGAATTCGGACCAATCAATATTTTTTGTCCTAATGATGTCTAGAATTTGACACTTGATATAAAACACACGTACAGTGATTCTGTTGTTATGTTTATTGAATAGATGTATAGTTTTTTCTTCAGGTTCATTAAGAAATGAACATTAAGATAACATAAGTTTGGGTTACTTTTGAAATATTTAAATTATCATAATTAAATAGAGAACTTTACCAACAGCATACATCTATGTGCTAAGCCTAACGTTACTTAATTTGTCTTATCATTTATTGGGCTTAAGTTTACCACTGTTTTCACGCAAATTTATCTGCTTCGTATTTCATGTTAAACATTACTACCCGAGTGGAATTTCGAAGACAAAAAGAAAGTTAAAATGGAACTAATGCATCAAATTTATTTTATTTGTGTTTTTTTCATCACAATTTCAACAATACAAGAAAAGAGATACTGGTGCTTACACAATAACTTGCTAAAGTGAAAAACAAAAATATTGTAAACCACAACAACCTTAACTAGTGAAAGCTCTGCCATCTGGTGGTTGTCATTATAACTAGCTTATTCTGAAAATAAATATACCATGAGAGTAATTAGGAAGATTAGCAAGAATGCACGTTACCAAATTTTTAATGGAATTACCACAAAGTAAAACTACCTTAACCAGTGAAAGCTCTGCCATCTAGTGGTTATCATCATAACTAGTAGTTGCCAAAATTCTGAAAATAAAACATAAAGTGAGAATAATTACGATGTTTAGAAATATTTATGTTACGAAACTTTTAGTAGAATTACTGCAAAGTAAAACTAGGTTAAGGTAATAGTACATGTTAATACAGTTCTAGGTCTATCAAATCTACGTAGCGTATAAAACTCCAGAGGCCATAAAAAGGACTTTAAGAACATATATTAAACGTTAAATACAGAATGACTACTAGAATATTTCGCCTTCTGTATTTGTGCAAATGGTTTGAAGAGTCCCTAATTATGATGATTAAAAGATACTAGGTTATTTCAAACTGTTGTACAGAATATAGGTTATATAAACACAGGACTTAACACAGCAGCGGAAGGAGAACGTTGAAAACTATCTGAAAGATGTGAAATATTTTCAGCAAAAACCAAATTATCGTTTCGTTATCTATCAACATACACCAACTATCGTGTCGTTATCTATCAACATACACCAACGATAGTTGGTGTATGTTGATAGATAAGGAAACGATAGTGGAAACGATAGTTGGTGTATGTTGATAGATAAGGAAACGATAGTTGGTGTATGTTGATAGATAAGGAAACGATAGTTGGTGTATGTTGATAGATAAGGAAAAGGAAACGATAGTTGGTGTATGTTGATAGATAAATCTAAACGAATTTCTTTAAAAGCGATAGAGAATGAAAATGTACCAGCTCTGTAAAAGTTTGAAACGTTTGTGTTTTTATTTATTAACATAAGCCAGACACTTGCTGGGAGGGCAGTGGAAGAAAGATGGATCCCCAAATTTAAAACGGTTTAATATATTATAAAATATAAGCCAGACACTTGTAGGGAAGGCATTGCAATAGGGATGGATACCAAAACCTAAAACAGATGAATATATTATAAGATATAAGCCAGTCACTTTCTTGGTTCAGTGTACAGAATTTTAAGGTTGAGTTTCTCGGTATATACCAGTCCCAACTACAGGGTTTTAAGGTTGAGTTTCTCAGTATATACCAGTCCCAACTACAGGGTTTTAAGGTTGAGTTTCTCGGTATATACCAGTTCTAACTACAGGGTTTTAAGTTTAAGTTTCTCGGTACATACCAGTCCCAGCTACAGGGTTTTAAGGTTGAGTTTCTCAGTATATACCAGTCCCAGCTACAGGGTTTTAAGGTTGAGTTTCTCAGTATACACCAGTCCCAGCTACAGGGTTTTAAGGTTGAGTTTCTCAGTATACACCAGTCC